TGAATACCAGCATAACCCCATATAAAAAATATGTAACTAGCTTTCGAGATGCTTACCGGTATTCTCTATTGCACAAATTCCAAAATAGGATATCAATCAAAGCAGTTGTCAAACTAAACTTCTGAAAGCTCCGGAAAATTTCCAGAGAGACGAATTATTATTTACAATTTCATTTGCCGACTTATCAAATATCACTATAATTTGAATTTGCTGCTACGAGTTGAGAAATCTTATTGTCTGTCAAGGCTTTGATGTTGTGAATCTAATCTGGCGTTCTCCTAATTATCAAATTGATAGACGTTAACTGTTAAATCTTAATTGATGTGGAATTGCATGATTATTAATTTTTCTGAGATGTAGTTGTGAACAAAATTCTTCTCATAAAAGGATATTTCTAATGGTTTTATTTTCATAATTTGTAAATATTGGATCTTAAAGTATGTTTGGGAAGTGTTTATAAACAATAGTATTTATATATATAGAAATGAGTGGTGATAAATTGGGCAGTATTTAACTATTTATAGGTCATATGAAATGTGTGGATAAAAACTAGTTTTGTCTAAGAGTGTTAATAAACGTTAGTGTTTATAAACACTTCCCAAACTTAGGCTTAGATTTGGTTTGCTTTCATTCTGGGTCCCTGTGAAAATGAAACAAGATAGTTGATATTGATGTGAATCTTGGAACATAAATTTTTCGAAGCAATTTCAATTTGGTTGGACACTTGTACACATTTTCTTTCCGATCTCAATTCATTAATGAGATTTCAAATTAATTTGTTATTGTGTTCTATAGATTTGCTGCATTTGCTTGGTGAAATACTTGAACAATGACGACCTGAGGGAGTTACCTTGCTCTCATTTCTTTCACAAAGAGTGTGTAGACAAGTGGTTGAAAATCAATGCCTCTTGTCCACTTTGCAAAGCTGAGGTCGACGAAGATCATGTTGAGTCCATCGACTGAAGCGACTGCTTGCAACAAAGACAGCTTACTACATGGACAGTCAAGTCTGTTGCCCAGTTCATACCCGTCTCATCGTTTTGGGAAAAATGATGATCTACTCATTATGCGAACGAATAGCACAATCATATAGTATAAATGTGAACATCTTGTGGCATTGCCTGTGTATTGTATTGACTAATAAACTATCATTCTCTTTTCCTTTTCTTGATTGGAAGAATAAGAAGATTGTTTTTCGCAGCCAAAAAAAGTTTGCTTGCCAATGCCTTTTGAGGAAATTACTTAAAACCAGGTGTTTAAGCTTCAAAGTGCAAAACTCAGGTATGAAGATTTTTGAATTAAAATTCAGGTATTGAATTAATAATTAAATATTATATGTACCCAAACCCTAATTTTATTTCATTTCTCTTCCTTCTCTCTCTTCATTTATCTTCCTCTTCTCCCTCTTTATTTCTCTCCCTTTTCTCTCTCCGGCAACTGGCGACCTATTCAAACTTCGGCAATCAGCAACGAAGGAGATGCCCTGGCTGACGCTGCTGAGAACGACTTTCTGTTTTTTGATCTGCCTTCTCTCTCTTCTTTTCTCTTCCTTCTCTTTCTTCGACATTGTTGGCACTTTGTTGTGAACGTCGCTTCATCTCCCTCACACATAGCCGCCATTAAGGGCTGCTGAGTGTCGCCGAGTGACGCTGCTATGCACAAACTGCAACGACGAATTAGACGCCGCATGAGCTAAATAGCAGTGGCGCGGAGGTGTGATGGTGATGGCTATAGCGTTTGTGTTTTATGTTGAATGGGGCGTCTCTTCATGGTGCTCGTGTGCGTTGGCGACAAACGCAACATCGGCCACTGTGCACGATGCGCAACACCTCCAATATCGTAAGCAGTGATGCTCGCGCCATCATCATTTCTCTTTTTTTTTTTCCTCTTCTGCATTTGTTTCTAGTTGGTAGGTGGTGGCGGTGGTGCGATGGTTCGGGGGTTTTCCACACTGGGGTTGGGTTTATGTAGGTGTGGTAGTGTTGGAAGAAATCCTCGATTTTAGCAAGCGGTGGTTGATTGGAGTTGCAAGTGGAGGTAGAGGTGGTGTGTGGTGTTGGAGCAGGTGTTGGTAGGGGGCAGGGGCAGCGATGTTTGTGATAGTCATGGCGTCGTTTCAGTGGTGCATTTCTATTGTTGGCGACGGCGGCAGTGCGTTTATGTGGTGTTCTTGTTGGCAGTGGTGGTGGTGTTGTGTTGTTAGTGGGGGCGGTGGCGTGATAGCGTTTGTAACCAATTATTTGGTTAATTTGTGACCAAGTATTGGTGGTGGATCGGGATCGGGGGCGGGGTGTTTGGTGTATGTGACCAACTATTTGGTTTATTGTGACTAACCATTAAACTATGACCTTAAATTCGATAATTTGTGACTAAAAAATAATTTGTAACCAACAAATTTGATAATATGTGACCGATAGATAAATTGTGGCCTATAATCTTTTTGATCTATGGCCAATGAAATAAATTGCGACGTATAAAATTTTTGATTTGTGATCTCGAAATAATCTGTGACTAATAGATTTAATAATATGTGACCAATAAATAAGTTGTTAACCTATAATTATGTACATGTGATCATTAATTGTATAATTGTGAATTTATTATATTTAAATAATAATTATTTTTAATTAATTAACTAAATATCTGATTCTGCATTTTTTAAACTTAATACTTGATTTTTGCAATTGTGAAACTCAATGCTTGATTTTGTGAACTCTTCCCACGCCTTTTTGCCCGGAGCCCACATATTCGGCTCGAAATGCATCCTTGTCATGGAGGATCTTGGGGCCTCGAGAAAAGACTATAAAGAGAAAACTACACCTGTTTTTCAATTTTTCATTTCAATAATTAGATGATAAAATTATTCTTCAAAAATCAAATGTACCCCAACCGTGATAGAAGACGACGAGCAACTGGTTGTATTGTTCTGGTGCCAACTGATTGGGATATTGACCTGCTTAGTCACAAAATTGTTATGATTTTTTTTTTGACATTTTCACAAGTTCCATATTTTTGAAAGTTTATGTTAAAACCTCTGCAGTTGTGTATTTTTCCTGACCATAAATGCTGCGAAATGAACACCAACACCATATTGCGCAACTTGATTAACAACATGAAAACATTCAATTCGTAGAAGTCCACTAATCTTTGTATGGTCCCATTTTCTCAAATGGTTTCCATGCCATGGCTGATGTGCCAGTCTATTTTGGCACCTTGAAATGTTCTATATCAGCTGAATTCATAGTGCAGATAATATAACAAGCGATATCGTTTGATGATGACTTGAAAGCAAGACGAGTCAATGGGTTGAAACATATTCGACGAACATACATATCAGTGCAAATAGAACATGTAGAAAGATGACTAAATTTAAGATAGTCCGTTGTAGTTGTTAAGCATTTTTGTTATTTTGAATCATCGATTAATTTTAATCATAAATTTAATGGGACTCACAACTTTTATCAAAATCTACTAAAAATATAATTTATACCTTGTACCAAACAGGGGCTAAATAAATTGATTCAATGAAATAGAAGTGCATGACCACTTGTAGAGATCTTCTCCTAGCATTAAATTGATTCAACTTTCATTAGATAATTTTTAAGGGGTAATTTATTCGTAGAATTTGTTACTTGTTTTAAAGTCCAGCGATGGCATTAAATAAGAATTTTAAAAGTCAGTTTGGAAAATTCCACTAAGAATCGTGGCATTTATAATTTATTTAAGAGAAAAATAAAATGTAAATTGAAATAATTCAAAATATTTTAGGACCTAAATGAATTAAATTGACCATAAATAGAAAGTTGATTCATAAGGCTGAAAATGGTAAGTCCAAAAGTTGGAGACCCATTTCAACTATTTAGCAACCATTTTTTGGGAATTCGTACAAACCGTGTTCGTCAATATAGTTCGTCTAAAAGTGCATTGTGAAGCTCACTCTGAGAACTTCGAATTGTATATAAATCTTGTCAATAATCAATCAAGGGACAACCTTTGAATCTTGACCTAAAAGTGGAGCCCCGAATATTAAAGTAGCAATTTAAAATTAAGATTAGACCCCTCTTGTTCTCACCACTTTTCATTTGTCCCAACTCCGAAGCAGTGCGATGTTGGGATAAAGGTGGTGCACCGAAGTACAAGAAAACCGATATTTCAACTAATTTTTGCCTTTTCTTTTAAGCATGGATGTCGACACCTCACCTTAAGTGTAGACTCCTACATGTCCCAACTAGTTTAGAACCTCGATTTTCATGTCTCGTGCAAAGTTAATACTATTTTTAGAAAAACGTATCTTCAGCAGCTTGCTTACACGTTGCTCATATCGTCACAAATACGGTCTATTATAATTCCTCTAACGTCTTTACTTCTTAAAATAAATAAATAAGATATTTTCTAAGATATTTGATAATGAAAGAAAAACCGTCCACTTTCAAAGACAACAATTTTCTAAATTGTAGCGTTTGGCATGAATTCTGCTATCATATTTCTTCTAAAATACAAAATAAATCGAGAATTAAACAAAGATTTTGCCCACATTGCCAGATGGGGATTGCAAGAGAAGCTGCTTTAGGGGAGAAGGGCAGAATACTTTGAGAATACTTTTGAAATAAGAAGTTGGTGAGACGAGACGAGACGAGAAGGAAGAATGCAGGCAATTTTTGGAAGAAAGTGACATTCCCATTACAATAACTCAGCCAACTACACAGAGTTGGTTCTTTGAGGGCAATTTTTGGAAGCAAAATGTAAAAAACCATTACATCCATGCCCAAGATATTAACAAATCAAAAACTATCGCTTTGCAAGACGGAGCTTCTGATGACCTATCAAAGGCAGGCAGACAACAAGCCACAAACTACAGAAAAAAGTACAAGCAGATACAGGCTATGCAATGCAATGCAACGCAACATAAGGAAACCAAATGTATGGATCCCAACAGATTTCACGGTACAAACCTTTTATCAAGAGAGTAGATAAAATTGCTGATATGGAATTTCATCTAATTAGTTTGCAAAAGCTGAAATGGATGAACCAGATGTTGATGCCCCGGCTTTACCTGTCACATTCTGAGACGCTACCTCACTGGGGGATCCAGACTCAGGCACGTCTCCAATGTCCAAAGTGTCGGGAAGCTTTTCAGAAAACTCGGGATATATCTGTAAGGAAGAAGCAGACCATTTATATCAGATATTTAACTTGAGACATTTAAACTAGTCAAACGCTGTATTGATATTCAGTACACACGTAAACCTCATGCTTTCTCAACAATCGTCTGTCTTTGGACAGGCAACACTTCAGCAAATCTGATTGGTTGATGTCTTGAAAAATGTTGCGGGCCTTAAAATATTTGGCCATTCACTCAAAACAAAGCCGGCTAGGGAATGTTGAATCTCAAAGTACTGATCAAGATACACATACAAACAATCTATGTAAAATTCTAAGCAGCTTGAAATATTATGTAGAAGCTTGATTTAAACTAAGTAGCTCAGCCTGGTATAATATTAGAAGCATATTACACTTGTAACTTAATACTATGGTATAACAGCAACTTCCCAGCTCATAAATGATCCTAATGAGGACTACCGGTACACGCATTTGCAGCAGAATGTTAAGACAGTAATGTTGTTTTTGAAAGGGTTAAGACAGTAATGTAAGAGGACGAAGACCACAAATGAGAAAAAAGAAACTGAATAATCATGATTGTAATTTGCTAATGAGGCAACAAAACTTTTTGTATAACCAAGGAACAGAATGCAGGTGGAAGTGTTTACTGGTTTAAAAAAAACGTGTCCTTAGAGACACGTTTCTTATTCACCACTTGTTACAAACATTCCTTGTATAATTGTAATTGAAAATTAAGAGAACAAGAAAGGAAGTACTTAAAAAGACGAAAGTTTGTTAAGACTTTGGGACTAGAAGGTGTCCCGAATGAGGTTTTGAAATTTCTGGATAAGTTGGGAGTTTTTTGGTCAACGTTACTTACTAAAATCATTTCAACCAAGAAGATGCAAGATGAATGGAAAAAAATAAGGGAGAAATCCAGGAATGAGATACGATTGTGTCATTAGGTTAACTAGTCATAAAATAAAGTATGAGAAAGAGTGAAAATACTCCAAAAGCTTGATCAACCACATTAGCACGATTGGAAAGAACAAAATGAATGCTAATTAAAGCATTGAGTGAGAATCCTTAAATAATGGAAAGCAAATGGACAAGTTCATATGGTCAGAACTCAATCAAGCAGAAGATAACCTCAAGTTGATTCAGCATGTCAACTGTGGAGTCCAGGTCACCTTTGTTTGCTAAATAGACATCAGAAAGAGACTCCTCTGATATACCAGGAAATGTCATCAGAAGATATGCCAAATCCATGTCAGATTCTTCACTGAAGGTTGATTTTCTAGACATCTCATGTGGATTATACGATGACGAGGCATAGAATTCACCACCATGATGGTCCTTAGTGTTGGAAATCTGAGGAACTTGAAGAGAATCAGCACTGTGGATATAGCTTTGAGAAAGGTTTTGGTGCTGTCCTTGTGTCCACATACGATTTGGTTCATGTCCAAACCAGGCGGAGTGATTTCCACTATCTAATTGATTTGCCAAAAGTTTAAAATCTTTGCTTTCATCGGTTCCTCCTCTTTTTGAGAGTGGTATGTATGATGCTGCATAGGGATTTAAAGAAGATGCTCCACCCTTCATTGCTGCATATTGGAAAAGTATAAAGACAGGAGAATGGGGACATAATAGGAAAATAACCAAAAAGACATTTTCAATTTATGAAAATCTGCCAAAGCTAATACCAAACTAAAAACAATGGCATCTCAAAACTTAAGAGTGACAAGTTTAAAAGCATTTGAATGGGAAACACGTGAAGTCAGAGGTAATAAATGAAACTAAATGATGACAACCACAAGTAGCATAGTAGATTATTAATTCAAAATGTACAAATATATAATGAAATTAAATGATAAAAATCACAAGTAGCATGGAAGAAAATTAATTCAAAATCTTCAAATATATCCAAAAATTTCAACACCAAACTAAAGTACTTAGAAATGACGTTTTGCGTCAGAACCAGAAGCAAGTTCCTGCTTACGTAAAATATGGTACGAAGTTTGTTCCAGTTTGCAATATTTTTGTTTCAAAATTTTGGTTTTTAACTTGCCCATGTTTTTCCATAGAAGGTTCCAAGTTCAAATAAAGGAAGGGTGTTGCCTGTTGAGGAAAGTTGAACAGGCAAAACAAAACTGTTGCATCTATGACATGTATCAGTTCTCCAATGGGCAGCCATAAGGCTTCCTCTTCAAAGTTTCAAAAAACACTGTGTACTTGTGTCATATTCCTTTGTTCTCAAAACCTTCAGCACAATGAAACATATTATTTTCTCCTTATTTTTTCTCTTATCTTTTATTTGATCAATGATGCTATTTTGGGGTATGAATTCATGACTTCTTGTGGCATCTGCAGTCATACTAAGGTCTTTCTCTCTCAAACTTGGAAAAGCTAGAATTATGGTTTCGACAAAACACACATAAAACTTAGAATTGAGCCACTATGTTTTACAAATAATTGCATTCTAACTTCAGCAAAAGACAAAGGTCCAATGCCTTCTGACCTCCTAAGAACAGAACTAATTTTAATAAGATTCTCACACGCCACTGCTTTCTCAGAAAGCAGTCAACAGGCCAAAAGAAAATGCTACAGCTTTCATATTCCTCATAGCAAGAAATTTATATTCCCTCCGCTTCAAGTACCCAGAGAAAAGGCACGCACAACTATATATTACTGCAAACAACAGAGGAATCAATTGGACAGATGCATCGACACATGAGCAAATAAAAATATAACAAAAACAGAAAATAAACATACGGACAGACAGACACACGTACACAACCTATATAAATTATTAATCTGTTAAATATCAAAAAAATTAATGCCACTGAATGCGTGATCAACGCAGATTAAGATGAATTCAGAATTACAAAAGCATGAAACTAAATAAAAAAAAATCATTTCTAACAAATACTGCTAAAGAATTCAATAATTTCTCAATAAAGTACCTGAATTCAATAAACGATGACACGCACATACACATATACATGATCACATCGACAAAATATTACAAAACTCACGCGTTCAATCGATCAAGAGCTGAATTTGAGATTGATGAGGAAACCCTAGATTTCGCGATCGTCGAAATTGAAGAGATTTTTTCGCCTTTTCCCCCTATTTAAAAAAGAAAAAAGATTAGAAGAAAAATTAATTGGCGAAAAAATGGAAAATGAAGACGGTTATTTTTTCGTCCCGTCATTTAGCATTGTCGCTTTGTGGAAAGTGACGTCATTGTGGTTAGTGGGTCCCAATTAAATAGAATGAAGAGGACCAAATATTTAAATTAAAAAATTCGAGTTAACTTATAGACAAAATAATAGAAATCTTGACTCGTTCATTCTAGACCTTCGGCTCTTTGATACCTCCAAAGAAAATATCGAATTGGATCTAAAATTGACTATCAACAAATTTTAGAATGAAATCCATGCATAAAGACAAAAATTTGATAACAATTATAATGAGGGATTGCGATGTTTAATTTTCTTTCCTTTTATTATGTTATATCGAAATTGATTTACTCGATTGATCAAAGCTGATCCTTCGTGTTATTAAACACCGGCGGACCCACATGGGGTCATGTGGGGTCACTTGACCCCACAAAAAAATTGGATTTTTGATTTTTTTTAAAAAAAAGTCAATTATAGAAATGATAGTGCTAGGCGTAAAAATTGATATACTAATTAATTTGTTGATTTGTATAAGTTTCGAGCACTTTTAGCTGAAAGATGCAAATGTCAAAAATAAGTGGATTGCTTAAGCAATTAACTGATTGATTTGCTAATAATCTTTTAATAATTGTGTAATGCTTACTTAACTATGATATATGTTACTCGTCGCTTCAGATGCTCGAAGAGTAAGCGCCACATGGTAAGTCACGTGGACAGAAAGTCAACAAGGAAGTCAAATAAAGACCCATGAGGTCAAAACATGAGGAAATCAAACAAAGTTGAAGTCCTTGCACTGTGAGACCGATGTCTATACCGAGGCACTGCCTCAAGGTCAAAGCACTACAACTTGGGATGAGACACTGTTTAAGGAAACATAGAAAGGAGCTGAAACTTTCCACTTAGAGAACCATCTCAAAGATTTCTGCGAGGCTCTCAACCGGTCTGACGCTCGTAAGGTCGACGTTGTTTCCTTGTAAAAGATTTGAAGATCTCTCTGAAGTGATTGATGTAACGCTTATAATAAAGTGTCAGTGTGTCAGCTTATTGTATAGGGCGGATGACCCCTTATCAATGTATTAATTGTATGAATAGACGTGATGTGATGCCCCAATTTGGGAGATGAGGCCACGTGGTTCTGATCCAACGGACACGACGTTGGCCGATATAGTATAAATATGTCCTCTTTGTGATTGAAAAATGAGAGGTTGGACAATTAATCAAAAGATTGACAATCACATATTCGAAATATACATTTGAACTCTTGAAGGAAATATATTAAAAGTTCATCTATCATTCCACATATTCTTGTTTGTTATTTTACATAAATTAGTTTGGTTTCTATCCAGTGATCGTTGTTAGCGCGATTGCCTATGTTTCAATCGTCGGAGCTCGAACACTTTGGTCTCTCTTCGCAAAGTACCCCCGCGTCCATTTCTTCATTGTTACCGACATCATTCCGATAGGAAGGAACCGAAACCGTACTTGACTTGGGGTGAGTAGGCCCAACATCTGTGGATCATTTTCAGTGGTGAACAATATATATCTAAATTTTATTCAAGAGTCGAATGATTGTTTCTCTAAAGTAAATAGCAATTTACTTATTTGTGTTGCATGTTTATGTTCAGATAATTAATTTTCTGCTTTCGACAAGGACAAGTTAATTTAATTGTATGAGCATTATCCCAAATATTTTAAATCAATAGAGATCTTGATACTTGAAGAACAAATTCAAACATATATTATTAATATGCACGCCCACGAAGAAAAGTTGGTTGTGACGAAAAACTGAGTTATACCTATTAGTTAACAATCTTGTAACATTGGCTTAATTCTTTTGGTTGCTACTGTTACGGTAAAGAGCGTATTTTCTGCAATGAAAATTGTCAAGAATCAATTGCGTAATCGGATGGAAAATCAATGGTTGAGTGATAGTTTGATTGCATATACTGAGAACGAAGTATTCGACAAGATTGATAATGATATAATTATATGACGTTTTTAGAGTATAAAAATGCGTAAGCTACAGTTGTAATATGGTACTGACTTATTTTCATTAATGATACTTTTTTTTAAAAAAAAATTGCATTTTAATTTTTGGCCCCACAATACGAAATGCCTGGATCCGGCCCTATTATTAAACTATAGCTAAAAGCTTTTTGCTTATAGTATGTTGATTAAGGCAACTTGGTATGCTGTCTCTATTGGTCTTGCTTGACAAATTGTATCATCGTCTAAAACCGATCTTTCTTACAATAAAATCCCAGCTAGATGCATCAAGCATCCCACTAAAAGGTGATTGTGCTTTCTCAAGTACAATAAAAGAAGTCCAAAAGAACCTGTCGTGTAGATGACTACTTCAGGTTTGTTCATAGGATTAACTTTCAAGAAACAAAGTCTGAAAGAACATATTGGAGCATGTTTGACAAGTTTAAAGATCTTATAACTGTAAAATAAATAGTTCCCTTAAAATTACTTTTACCTAGTTGAAACTAACGTAACATTTACTTACAAAATAAATATATTTTTCACTTATAAGTAAAATAAGCAGAAACTACACAAACAAGTATCATCCTTGTTCGCGTGAAATCCGTAAGCGTCCGGGATCGTTGTACAAGTAATAAGATTTGTGAGTTAAGAGTATCGTTCCCACGAGAAATAAGGTCTAATTTTTAGTTCAATAGCTACTATTAAATTCGAAGTATGGTAATATCAAAAGAAATTGTTTATATGT